GGCAGTCCAGATTCACCTCTTAGTGGTATCTCTCTATTCCTCATGTACTCTGAGTGCATATTCTGAAATTTCCATACCAAGAAACAATGATAACATAAGCATTTTATTTTATTTATTTATTTATTTTGAGACAGAGTCTCACTCTCTTGCCTGGGGCGAGTGCCGTGGCGTCAGCCTAGCTCACAGCAACCTCAAACTCCTGGGCTCAAGCAATCCTACTGTCTCAGCCTCCCGAGTAGCTGGGACCACAGGCACGCGCCACCATGCCCGGCTAATTTTTTCTACGTATATTTTTAGCTGTCCAGTTAATTTCTTTCCATTTTTTGGTAGAGACCGGGTCTCGCTCTTGCTCAGGCTGGTCTCGAACTCCTGAGCTCAGAACGATCCGCCCGCCTCGGCCTCCCAGAGTGCTAGGATTACAGGCATGAGCCACCGCGCCCGGCCAGCATTTTATTTCTTAAATTCATCTTGGTTAGTCAAAACTACTAGAACAAATTTTCTTTTACACACTGGTAGTTATTAACATTTCACTAAATACACATATAAGCACTTAAAGTATGGTGGTAATGGAAAGAATGCTAAGCAAAAAACAGGATATAGATCAGAATGTATATACTGTCATGTTTTAAAAAATGGGAGACTAATATGGTCATAGTTATGCTTGTATATCCATCAAATGGCTCTGGAAAGTTTTGTAACTGCTTACAGAGAAGGACAACTGTATGTCTGGGCAGACTTTTTACTATAAATGCTTTGTTACCTTTCAAATCTGAAGCAAGGAATACATTACCTATATAAGAATTTAATTTTTAAAACGAGGGCTGGGGGAGGATTAAACAAGTACTCTGGAAGCCGGGCTTCTAGTCTCAATTTGCTACTACTTATGTTATCTTGGGCAAGTCGATTAACCTCGAAGTCTCAGTTGGACAAAGCAAGGAGCAGTAAAAATGTCTAGGTTCTATCCTAATTCCAAAAGTTCATTATCTCAATGGGGGGTAGTAAATAGATGGTACTTTTTTTAGATATGGGAAAGGTACTAGCCCAGCATTTGGCAAAACAAGGAAACTTTTGGTGGACTTAATGATTTTCAAATATAGTCGACCCTCAAACAACGTGGGTTTGAACTGTGTGGGTCCACTTATACATAGACCTTTTTCAACCAAAGAGGATTGAAAATACAATAGTTTCAAGATACAAAGCCTTCGTGTGTGTAGGCCCAACATTTTGTATGTGCAGATTCCCCAAGGCTGATGGTGGGCCTTAAGTATGCAACACAAGCAGGAGTCCTGGAACCAATACCCCACAAATACCAAGGCACAACTATACTATTTTTACAGTTTTGAGAACTACAGAATTGTTAGGCCTATTAGCCTCTCAAGATCATTTGTACTTTTCTTACATAGACACCCTTCTTAGAGGGGGTCTAATATATATAGGAAATACCTATAAATATTCCACATATATTTTTGTTTGTCTTGTACTACTTCTGAAATTGTTTTAAGTGGACTTTAAGTCTTTATGCTATGCCACAGAGTAAGCAATGAAGTACACTAAAACAACTATTAATACATAAAGGACTATACCTAAGACAAGAAACTTATTATACTTGAAGGCATTTATTAATATTACCAGACACTGCAAAAAAAAAAAAAAAAAGTAGCACCTCCAATCAATGATAACAGCTATAACTGAGTACTATCTTACTTCAGGTACATACATATATCATCTTTAATCCTAACATTTGTCTGGCAAAGTAGGTTTTAACATCCCTATTTAACATAAGAAGAAACTGAGGCTTCATGAAGATAAGTGACTGGCTTGAGGCCATAAGTCTAAGATGTGGCAGAGCTAGAAGTGCACCCAGATTCGTTGGATTTGACCTCAGTGCACCAAACCAAAGGGGCAGAGGTTGCTTACTTAATGTTGACTGGTAGGCTAGTACAGGCTTGCAGCAGAGTTTTTACCACTTTATGTAAAAATGGGGAAAAATAAGGACAAGAAAGTAAACTTTTCAATAAAGCTAAATGATCTTTTATTCTGAGCTGCTGTTCTTCCAAATTGAGTGAAAATATCCTTTTGTTACATGAAATGATGGTGATGGCAGTGGTGTGAGTTACTTTTGCTGTTTTTATTGGTTATGCTAGGTAGAATAAAGAAATTGCAATTTTATTGCAGTCTTTGAATTTGGGGAGAAATATTTCTTTTGAAATCCAAAAATCCGAAACTATTGCTTTACACAATTATGCCTGCCAAAACACTAGAGGACTTACACATAGACACACATGCCCTTCAAGATTCTCTCATTAATCGCTACCCTATTCTATCTGGATTAGGATATCTAAGGATTAAGAAATGAGAATAAAGTGAGTTTAAGCAATCCAAAGTCACGGATTAACATGGATCATGGAAGAGAACTTCCCTCAGGATCTTTGTCATCTGTTAACTTTTCTTCAATTCTATTAACTAGAGCCTGGGCTCAAACTTTCTTTTTTTTTCTTTGAATACTATTGCTACATGGCAATCAATACTCAAAGGAACTAACTTGAGGTGTCCAATAATGAGCTTTCATTTAAAGTATTTTTCACCTTGACAAAATTATAATTTTTAATGATGCTTATTCTACCCACTTCCCCCACCCCCAGCCAAAAAAGTCTGTAAATCAGACTTAGGCCGCTTTAATTTCCAAATTTCCACATCTCAATTAAAAATACATATATATATGATTTTGCAAGTAGTTTATAAACAGGTTGATCAAACTAGATAAACTTCTTGAAATAATTTCATTGTATGCATGGCAAGTAAGTTATTTACTCCTCTTATTAGCATATCTTATTCTTACCTATCGTCCTTTAGCAGACATCAAAGTTAAAATATTGTACGTACAGAACTATATAATTAAATATCAGTTTCAGTCACATATTAAATTCACATTTAAAACTATAAAGATATCCAGTTGTTTTTAGTCTTACATATACTTACATATAATTTTAATATACTACTTGATGTTTTGTGGCACTTTATTAAAAAGGAAAAAAAGCACAAAAACATGGCTCTTGCAGAATATATAACTATGAGAATTATTTACAGTCTAAATTTATTATGTGGTTCAAAAATGCTATGTTTAAAGAAAAGTCAATTTTAAGAACTTAAGCATACAGTATTCTTTCCACATCCAAACGTTAAAAGCGTCATTAAATTTACTATAGACTACATGATGTTTCAAAAAAAATCTAAAATTGGTAATAATTCTGTCTAAATTCCATATTAAACTAATATCAAATGTTATTTTTAGTTCTTCTTTGTTTTTAAAATACTTGAAACATGCTACTGCATAATCTTTTCATTAGGTATTGATTCATTCAACTAACTTTGGGTGCAAGGTACTTTAAAAGTCCTTTCCAAAAGTGGAAAATAACATAAAAATGTTTGCATTAAATATACTCAGTGGTTCTCAAAGGGTATCTGAGAGTCTAATAACCGTATTAACTTGGTTCAAAATGATCAACATCAAACGTGAGCTTTTTGTCACATCAGTGTATTTTCCACTGTAAACTTACACCTACATTTTAAATGCATTTATAAGTATGTGTAATGCAGCCATAATGATAAGCATTTCCCCTCTAAAAAGCTACAGGATTTTGGTTTAAGAGCAAATGAGATGGAGTACCTGGTCCATGAAAAAAGGCTGTCTGGTACCCTGAAGTTTGTAAACAGTAACAAGACAAACTCAAATGCTAGCTTGTTCATTTTCTTTTCTTCAATACGGTTCACGAAATCAACAGTATGTGGGTTAAAATAAACTAGTGAGCTATACATGCATTTCTGTCTACCTACCAATTTACCGATTAACACAAGAAGAAACTGCTCAAATGTCACTGTTAACAAACATCAAACTATTAGATAGTCTCGATTAAAATTGCAATCTATCAATTTTGCAATCATTTCTTTGACTTTTTCTGCATTTTTTAATGACTCCCCCAGTAAAAAAAACAGCAGCCACTTTTAAAATGTAAAATACCCTTTTTTCAAAGTAACTTGCCTAGGAAAATTTAATGCATTAAAATAAACTGTAACAGACAAATCAATTATAACATTTTAAAAAAACTAAAATGATCAGTAAAAGAAACCAATCGCTCCAGTTTAGCAAGGCGTGTATTTTTAATCTTTTGTGGGTATCCCATTTTACTAAAACAACGCTGAAAAGTCAACCTTATGCCTGTAACACTATCACTACACATAACGTACTCATCTCTTACTCAATTTAAGCTTAAACTAGACCCAAACTCAGATCATTTCCCCCTCCACGGCACACAGAAATATCCGAGGGGAATCCAAGAAATCAGATATATTAAGTGCCAGTATCTTCTTCCAGAGTAGGGTCAAATTCATGTTTGCCCGCAAATGTCACCGTCTCAAGAAGTCTGCAAATTCTTACTAGCGCTACACAGTACAAAGAGGCCTGACCACGGAAACACCTGTCCTAGCACCAGGAAGACAGCGGGAAATGCAACCCCCCTGAGCCCACGCCGGCCGCACAGCTTCGGGCTGCAGCGATCAGGGGACAGGAGGTGGACACTGGCCTCACGGATCCCGATGACAGAGTCCCACACCCCTGACCCGCCTCCCACGGCAAAAACCAGGAAACCTGTCAAGCCGGCCGGACCCACCCTCCGCAAACCCCTCGCGCTCCTCCCCAGCCCGGCCCGAGCCTGCCCAACTGCTCCCGGTCCGCTCCGGCCTCCCGGCTGCACTCTGCCACCTCATCCCTCCTCGGTGGCCTCGCGGCCCCGCCACCTCCGCCCGGCGGCCTGGGCTCGGGCCGCCCGCCGGGCAGGAGCGCCCGGCCGCCGCCCCCCGCGCCGGCCCCGACACCGCCGGTCCCTCCGCGGTCCGGTCCCCGCCGACCCCCAGGCCCGAGCTCCCGCCGCTCGCTCCCCACCCCCAGCCTCCGCCCTCGCCCCGCTCGGCCGCTCCCGGCCCACTCCTCCCAGCCGGGCTACCTGGAGGCAAGGGCGGCGGAGCACTTCACCCAGGGCCCCAGGTCGCAGAGGGCCCGGTGCTCGGGGTCCCGCTCCTTCTCCCGCTCCACGTGGTAGGCGTAGATGGAGAGCAGGATCCCGGCGGCGCACACTGCATACCGGGCCACCCGCTCCCACCGAGGCACCGACACTCTCAGCAGGACGGGCGCCGCCATCTTCCCCCCTCCGCCGCCGCCGCCGCCGCCGCCGCCGCCGCCGCCTCCCTCCGCCTCCACCTCAGCCGCCGCCGCCCGTCGGGGCCCGACCCAGCCGCCGCCGCCGCCACCGCCGCCGCCACCACCGCCGCCGCCGCCGCGCCCCATTGGCTCGGTCGCCTCCTCTGGGCCCCGCCCCCACAGGCGCGCGGCCCAACCGCCCCGAAAGGAGTGAGCCGGGCAGGGCGGGGAAGGCGCGCGCTGGCGCAGAGGGAGGAGGCGGAGCGCGCAAACCGCCGGGGAGGCCGGACCGGCCGGCGGAGACGGAGGCGGCGCGGCGCGCGCGGTGGGCGGAGCCAAGGGGCGGGGCGGTGCTAGAGGGAGGGAGGGGCTTGACGGAGGGAGGGGCTAGAGGGGCAAGGGCGGGGTAGTGCGTGGGGGCTTTCGGGGAGCGGTGCGAAGAATAAATTTCGAAGATAGCACTGTGGGTTATTAGGCAAGCCCTTGGCCCCTCCCTCTGGAGACGGCAATCAATTGCCGGCCTTTTTCCCTTTTTTGTCATTATCACTTGATATTTCTGATCCAATCCCTGGGCTCCAGAGCCACGTTCCTGTGACCTGATCTTTCCCACCACCACCTCCAGGCACCTTGTGTTCAACATGTGCAAAACTTTTTTTTTAATATGCAAAATCATTTTTTAAATGAAAAGCTATTTTTAAAAAATGATTTATGAATGCCTTCTCTATAAGCTGAATTTGAGTTGGCTTACCATAATTCATATAATGTAGAAAACTATAAAGTTGAACTAAAAAATTAGGAACAAAAGAAAAAGACACGTCAGAATAAAATGAAAGACCAGGAGTAAGAACACAGATAAGCCCGCCATAGGGGCTTGCACAATTATTAAAATTGCACCATAGTCTGGCTCTGAGCTTCCCGGTGGCCGAAACTAACAGAAAAACACAGGTATGTGCTTCTCGCTGTCTCTAAGAAACACAGTGTTCTTGGAGATTGTCAGCTTTCCCATGGTTGTGACACTCGAATTTTCAGGGGCTTTATATGGTGATTTTCAGTAACAAGCAATTAGTTGTCTATTGTTCGATAAAAATTACCCCAAATTTAGCAGCTTAAAACGAACAATAAACTTATTTTCTCACTGTTTCTATGGGAAAACCCAGGAATCTGTGTGTCCTTTGGCTCAGGGTCTTTCGTGAGGCTACAATCAAGGTGTCTGCTAGAGCTGCAGTCATCTCAACGCTCGAGAATCCTCCTTCGAGCCCACTCCTGTGGCTGCTCGCAGGCCTCACGTCCTCCTCTCTGGCTGTTGGCTGGAGATGTCTGCTTCTTGCCACTTGCGCCTCTCGGTAAGAAGCAGCTGGCTTATCCCAGCACAAGCGTTGAGAGAGAGAAAGAGAGAGAGAGATTACAGTCTTTTTTGGTTACCTAATCTTGGGAACTGACGTCCCATTACTTTTACATATTCTGTTACTACTTAGAAGATAGTCTAGGTCTAGCCCCTGTTCAGAGAGAGAGGATTACACAGGGCATGAATAGCAGGAGGGGTGGATTAAAGGCTATCACAATCCTCAAAAAGATCCCCACTCTTAATTCCCTAATGGTTTTCATCGATCTAAGTGGACTCCTGCAACCTCTCTCCTCTGGTTCCTTTACTCACTTAGTGAGATCTCTTGGTCGTCTGGATTCTTCCATTCATTATGTCTGTGAGGTTTATTCATCTTATTATACATAGCAATTGTTATTTTTTTATTACTGTGTAATAGTCCATTTTATGGATTACCACAATTTTATTTATCCATTCTGTTGTCGGTGGACATTTGGTCCGTTTTTAGCTATTGCATGAGTAAAACTGCTGTGAACATTCCATAAATGTCTTTTGGTGAACTTAAGCACTCATTCCTATTGGGAATATATCGGGAGTGGAATGACTGAGTGAGACAGTGTTAGTGAATACTGCCTTTGTAGATTCAGATGCTAGAGGAAGCAGACAACGAGGTGGAATTTGATGTGCAAAATTTTAAGAAAGGAAAGCACCTGTGCAGGATAAACGAGAGCGGGAGCAGGAGTAGGCACAGAGACCGTCCTGACCGTAAGGCAGGTCTGAAAGCTGTGGGAGCACTGCAATCTCAGCCAGCTTGACAGGGAGCCCCAGAGTACACTGTCCATTATAGGAGCTGTCTGTGAGGCAGGAATGGCCTAACCCTAGTATCCCTGCCATGCTCAGTCATTGGCTGGGAGCAACCTGGGGAGAGCATGCCTCAGCATGGGCACTGTGGCAGACCCAAAGGTGCAGCAGCTGAAGTCTCCTGACCAGCTAGCCCCTTGCAGCAGGCTCTCTTGAAATGAGGTCTGAGTGGGGTGCCACCACAGCCACCACACTACCAAACAGCTTTCCAAAGTGGTTGTACCCATTTCAATTCCCTCTAGCAATGCATGAGAGTTCCTGTTGCTCCACATCCTCACCAGCCCTTGGCATTGTCAGTGCTTTTAATTTAAGACATTTTATTGGCTCTAAAGAGAGATCTCATTGAGGTTTTAAAGTTGCCTTTCCCTGACGACTAATGAGTTTGAGCACTTTTCATGTGCTTATTGACCACTTAGATGTTCTCTTTTGTGAAGTGCCACTCAAGTCTTTTGCCCACTTTAAAAAATAGGTTGTCTATCTTTTTCTTATTGATTTAAGAGCTTCTTTACATATTCTGGTACAAGTCATTTGTCAGGTATGTGTGTTGCAGATGGCTTTCCCCATACAGTGGCTTGCCTTTCCCTGTCTTAATACTACTTTTTTTGCTGAACAGCAAAACAGACTTCTTTGAATTCCTCATACACATTCCACTACCTATCACCTTGGAGCTTTCACACAAACTCTAGCTTATCCACAGCTCAGATACCTCTTTCTCCTGGAAGGCTTTACCACCTCTATTATAACAGTCAGGACCTTGGTGACACGAACACAGCTCTCCAGACCAGGGAATCAAACCCCATCAGGACTCTCTCTCTCTCCATTTCCCTCCTGTATGTGTTGACTTTGTTCTCTCAGGTCAGCTTTTTACAGAAGGAAAAGTGGCCCCAGCAGCTCTTCCATCTTGTATCTTTGCTTTCTTCTACCGGGAAGGGACTACCTCTCAATGGAGGCCATTGTTTGGGGCTGAGCTCCTATGCTAGGCCCCAACAAGCCAAACCAAAATGGAGTCACACTAAAGTTTCACATCATCAATCCAAAATTAAGTTGTTTATCTGATCTTCTAAGAAATAAGGAGAGAGATGATAGCCAAGTTCCCAGACAGGCCAGTTTTAGCTGGCATGATAAGGAAGTCCCCTCTGCTTTAACGCCTATAAGGAAAGTAACCCAAAGTAATCTGATGTTAACCAATCTGCTTTTTGTCTTATGCTGTTTTCTTGTCCCTACTCAAGCTACCTTACAAAAGCTGACTGTTCTGCCATGCATAGTGGAACGCCTTATCTAAATCTTTAGATGTGATGCTGCCCGGGTCATGGATCACCAATAAAGCCAATTAGACCTAAAACTAAATTTGTTGAAATTGTGTCTTTTAACATATCCCTTAATTCCAATGTGAAAAATATACACTGTAGCTAGACAGAGAGAGTGCTGGGGATGGCAGCCCCCACAGACCAACAAGCTAGATTTTATGAAGGACCAGTCCTCCCAGAGAATAAGAAAGCGATGTTCCCAGACTTAGGAAGGATCCGGGTATGGTGGCTCACACCTGTAGTCATAGTATTTTGGGAGGCTGAGACTGGGGGATTGCTTGAAGTCAGGAGTTTGAAACCAGCCTGAACAAGAGTGAGACCCCCTTCTCTACGTAAAATAGAAAAATTAGCCAGGTGTGGTGGTGTGTCCCTGTAGTCCCAGCTACTTGGGAGGCCGAAGCAGGAGGATTGCTTAAGTCTAGGAGTTAGAGGTTGCAGTGAGCTGTAATGATGCCATTGCACTCCAGCCTGGGCAACAGCGCGAGACCCTGTCTAAAAAAAGAAGAAGAAGAAGAAGAAGAAGCAGGAAGGGGTAACTGGGCAGACAAAGCAGGAGGTTAATCCATTCATTTATTCCACAAATATTTATTGAGCACTACTTTGTACCAGGCACAGTTACAGGAGTTGGACCACAGTAGAGAAGATGACAAACCAGCCTTGCCTCACAGAGCTCATGTTCTGGGGGGGAGCTGGGTGAGACTGTCCCGGTTGGAGAGTCCCAGAGAAGAGCCCTTGTCACTGTACAGAAGCAGCTCCTCTGCTCCCAGGCAGGTAAAGCTGGCCATCAGCCATTCAGTAGTGCCAGGCGGCAGCTAAGGGCTTCTGTGCCTGGGGGGCACAATTCTGAGAGGTCCTTTGTGCCAATCCAAGAATGTAAATTTCAAAATTTGTACATAGATGAAATGCTCATAACATTACTGGTGGAAACATAATATGGTGCAGCCCCTTGGAAAATAATTTGGCAGTTCCTCAAAGTGTTAAATATAGGGTCACTGTATGATCCAGCAATTCCATCCCTAGGTATATACTCAAGGGAATTGAAAACATCTGTCTACACAAAAACTCGTACATGGGCCGGGCGCGGTGGCTCACGCCTGTAATCCTAGCACTCTGGGAGGCCAAGGCGGGCGGATCGTTCTGAGCTCCAGAGTTCGAGACCAGCCTGAGCAAGAGCGAGACCCCATCTCTACCAAAAAATGGAAAGAAATTAACTGGAAAGCTAAAAATATATGTAGAAAAAATTAGCCGGGCATGGTGGCGTGTGCCTGTGGTCCCAGCTACTCGGGAGGCTGAGACAGTAGGATTGCCTGAGCCCAGGAGTTTGAGGTTGCTGTGAGCTAGGCTGACGCCACGGCACTCGTCCCAGGCAAGAGAGTGAGACTCCGTCTCAAAAAAAAAAAAACAAAAAAAAACTCGTACATGAATGTTCATTGCAGCACTATTCCTAATGGCTAAAGATACCCATCAGTTAACGAATGGATAAACAGAATGTGGTGTATGCATACACTGGAGTATTAGCCATAAAAAGGAATGAAATGTCGATACACGCTACAACATAGACAACCTCAGAAACATTATGCTAAGTGAAAGAAGCCAGGCACACACATAAAAGGCCACATCTTG